GGATATACGCTTCCAACACGTACCTGCTTCCTAATTTTTTTTAAAAATCTCGATTCCATGTTTCCATACGATTTCGCTTCCCCGATTCTGCTTCCGTTTCCATGTAACATAGAATAATACTCAATAATTCAAACTGTTCAAGATTTACGCCTAAGTAACAAACATAGTACGTGGGTGAAATCAATATTTTAGTGAATATAAGAATTTATCCAAAACATATACAATAAATTATACTGAATTAGTTATTATGATAAGTAATAACTTAATGGATCTTTAAAATATACAACCAAAATAAACTTTGTACTTATACTAAATAGTTTATTACATGAAAGTCATACTTTTAATCCTACTCCATGTATTTTGTTTGCTGAATTTTAAATTTTAGTTCTCTATATAAAGAACACAACATTATCATAATACTTATATATATATATATATATATAACAATCTATAAAGAAAATGAAAACTAAAATATTGAAATTTTTGTAAAGGAGATAAAATTAAAGTAACATAAAATGACAAATGACCAATAATAAACAACCAAAAATATAGATACAAAGAACTAAAAAAATAATTATTTTCATCTTTGATGAATAGTGTTTGAGATCAAAAAATTCCAAAACCTATTACAATACCATACTCATCATATATTAAAACAACGTACAAATAAATAAGTAACACCAGTTTGAATAAGCATTGCTAAAAAAATTATAGAAATATAAATATAAGACACAACACCAAACAAAAAAGTGAATTCAAAAGTTTAAGATATCACTATGAAAATAAACATTACCAAAAAAAATATAACATTATTTTACCAAAAATACAAGTTCTTAACTTTCTATTATCAAAGAAGGAATGAAAACTTTGTAAATAGATTGGCAAGTTTTCTACAAAATTACCAAAAAACATATTCACAGAAACACCATTACCAACCAAAGATATTATTTCGAGAAATTATTTGGATAATCGCTTTTAGTTTATTTTCTCAAAATAGTATTCAAAGAAAAAATGATCAAAATAATTTTTTATTAAAAGGTAAATATATATTAATACTCTTGGGTTAACTAATCTAGACTTAGGGTTCGAGCTAAGGGGTGGAGTTTTGGGTTTAGGGTCTTAAATTAAAACAAAATAAAAAGAAATATTACAAATTTCAAATATAAAGGACTATTTTAAAAAATTTATTTTTTACAGCTATTTTTATGACATAAATTGAAAAATGGCTATTTGAGAGAATTGCCCTATTATTTATCAATTTCACCTAATAGAAACAAAAAATTAAAAATTGTAATTCTTACAACATATCAGATCTTTACGAAATTCATTAGGCAACAAACTGAATCATTTTGAATAAACAACGACAATTTAAAATATTTCAATTTAAATTAAAACATAAAATTTTAATAAGTTTAATAACAGAAATGATAAAGTGGACAATCTAAACGTAAAAATTATTATATAAACTCTCTGTTTCATTTAAATTTGTATCTTTAGGTTCATGCACATATATTAAGAAAATATTTAATTTTTCTTATTTTTAAAATGAAAACATCATTACATATATACTTAATCATATTTCAACCAATAGAAAAAACGAAAGAATATTGTAAATAATTTTTGTATTAAAATTTTAAAATGATACTTATTTTGAAATGAAAATTTTAGTCTATGAAGACAATTAAAATGAAATCAAAGAGGTCATATTCTATCATTCTTTTCTCTATTATGCGAAAAATAAAACTCATATTCAATTTTTTTGTGGGTTACTTATATTTACAATTCAATTTTAAGTGAATATACAACTATTCAAAAATTAGAGTAAAAACAATAGCATGTCACATAATATTATTACATATTAAAACTTTGTTAAAGTTCTAAATGAAACAATCCATTCTATAAATTTTGAAACATCTATGCATTTTATAATGTATACTTACAGAAAATACTTCAATTATAAAATAAATTAAAAATACAAGATTTTTTTTGTAAAATAAATTATAGTAGTATATAATCCGCGCGTAGCGCGGAAAAGACTCTAGTATATATAATGAGGGACTTTTTACCTCTCCCTAAAGGTGTCCACCTGTACATTTTAATGATTATGGACCCCACTTTTCGTCCGGTTTGTTTTGTTTTGGTCGTGGTGGTTTGACGTTGATTTTGGTTCTCCATAATGTCAAACTCTGCGTTTTGTGTTATCGTCGATTAGTGCTTATTGTTATCGTATTTCCATATTCAACCTAGCCGTCTTCGTTTATCATCTGTAAACCTAATGATTTCTCCTCTCATCTCTTAACCTCCCCTTCAGTTCAGTGTATTTCTTTAAAGTCAGCAATAAACCCAGTCGACCTCTCTGATTCCTTCACATCAAATAAATACATAAGGGCTGTGGAGAAGATGGATCTTCAGAACCACTGTCCGTTTATCTTCTTTATCAAGCGGCGAATGATTTTTCAGAGATGTCTTCCTCCGAGCCTTTGACGCTCTCCATCTCGGTATCTGTCCAGTTCATTGTTGCTTCGCTGCTTCATTTTTAGGACTCGAAAAATATCAAGAAGCATGGTGTATTCATGCGAATCACACTACTTCTTATCGGTGAGAAGGTACTGCAACGACAAGCATCTTTTTCTAGATATTTATAAAAAGTCGATGATCTAAATCTTCAAACTTTAGTTGCAGGATTATGTGATACATGGATTCATCCAGCCATCGTATCAACTCATTAGGTGTTGAACCAAAACTCCATCTTATGCTAATTTATCTGATTATACCATCTAGAGCTTAAAAGGCTCAGTAGGATAAGCTTTCCCCTGTATCGATACCAAAAAAGGGATAAAAGAAAAGGAAGTTGTCTCAATAGAAGAGCTAAACAAGTTCATCTCCAATTCTGAAGAGCTGGTAATATTAATGGTTCCAAGAAAGTTTTAAATGTGTAAATTTACTGCCTTGGTGAAGACACATGAAGCTGATTAATTATCGCATAGGTAAGTAAAGCTGTTTTTGTTAACCTCTCTATGTTTCAGTTATTGTTGTGCTTATGGCTATTCATGATCTCTGTGTTTGCAGCTATAACTCATGCGTTCCATGCATTGTATCTGGAAGTCATGTCAAAGTATTCAGTGACTGTTCCAAGAAAATGATACTGAAGTCTGAGAAGCTCTTCAGGGAGAAAGAAGTTTCAAGCAGAGGAGATGACACGATTGAGTTGGATCTTGAAGAAATGTACTCAAGTTTGGCTCTTGATATTATAGGGCTTAGTGTGTTCAACTACGACTTTGTCTCTGTCTCAAGAGAGTCCCTTGTAATTAAGGTTTTTTTATTTCTTGGAATTGTCTATTAGCAAGCTGGGCTGGTCCCTTCTTGAATGTTTCTGTTATACATTGCAGGCGGTTTATAGAACTCTTCTCTGAGGCAGAGCATTGGTCTACTTTCTACTTCCCGTATTAAAACATTCCTTTAGCCAAATGGATAGTTCCAAGGCAAAGAAAGTTCCAAAACGATCTCAAGATTATAAACGATTGCCTTGATGGACTCATTCAAAACGCAAAAGAGACCAGACTGGTGTTTCACTACTTGCTACTCTCTTCATTCTACTGTTCAGTTTCTGACTTTGTTATCTTTGTTTCTCTTAGGAAACAGATGTAGAGAAGCTCCAGCAACGTGACTACTCGAATCTCAAGGTTCTGCTATCTTTTATCTCTTGCATCTTTACTAAAGGTTATGAAAGTGTTTTGATTTTCCTTTCTTGGTCGACATGCGCGGTGTTGATATTGATGACCGGCATGAAAGATTGTATAACTTACTTTACAACAATCTTATAATTATCTTATGCTTTACAACCAACAGCCTCAAAGATATTCATTGTTCAACTAATTTATTCAAATTATATATATGATTGTCTACAGAATTCTCCTATTATATATGTGATTTTCTACTGAATTCTCTAATCAAATATTTCAGTCCAGGTGCTCATTCCAATATAGACCGTCTTCTCTTACAAAAGGGGAGAATCTTAAATTTTACTGGACTCGAAGTGTCTTACTGTACTAAACTTAACATATCATACCACCAGTTCATATGATTCTGAAATATGAGTTTCTTACTGTCATCAGTCTCTAGAGTCGAGTATATAGTGGAGCAACAGCTTTCCCCGTACACTATAGCTTCACGGGCCTGTCCAAAATTTTTGCAGATTATTCTCCCAATATCTTTGAACAAAAAATAAAAATTCTCCATATGTTTGAAATTCCTCAACTGTAATCAAGATTTACAGAATGAGTTCGGTGCACATATTTATAAAGGATACTATCAAGTCCTCAAAACGTGTACTAATTTTTCAGATTACTTCATTACTACCATAATACTGAGTTCCTCATTTGCATATGCAAATATAGAATCAAAGGAGAACATGGATAAATATAGTGAAACTGTAATTTTTACAAAATTGTAACAAATGTAAACATTTTTATAGAGTATTAATTAAGTCAACAATCCGCGCTGGGCTATGCCCCTAGTCAACAAAACTAAAGAAACATAAGATTTAATAATGTTCAGATTTAATTACGAGAATGAATTAACATGGTTGCATAATGCCGAGGAGTCATTGAATTGTTTTGGACAACGAGGTTGTATTACACGCGGTAGAAAAGCGCATATGGAAGAAAGCTTGACTGAGAGAACCCAAAGTTTTGACTTTTGTGGCTACTGTCTTCTGTCAAAAGATTTGATTTGACTCTCTGCTTGCTTCGAGGGAAAGTAAGAGTGACAGACAAGCCTCTTTGCCTTCTGTTATCCCGTCAATTATCGCCGTTAAACAGACGCCGTTTGCTCTTCCTGGTACTGTAACAGCGGTAACACAATTTATTTCTCAAGGCAAACACCCCAAAGAAAATCAAAAACAAAAAAGGAATTATATATCTTCTTATTCCTTTTTCTAACAATTAAAAATACATATTTCACGCATTCAGTGCTTCTTCATTCTCTTTTGTTAATTCCTCCAGATTTTGAAAGGAAACAAAAAGAATGTACGAAGATCATCAAGTGGCGAAACCAGACAAAGAAGGACACGTGGTTAGCAATTATTCCGACAACATGTTCGGTTCGGCGTCTTCGTCTCCGACAGGAACAGTACAAAACCCTAATCTCAAACATGTTACCTTCGGAAACCCTAATTTCTCCTATGTTATCCCGGTTTGTTCTCTCTTCTAAAACCCTAATTTATCCACATTTTGTTTTATTTTTGCATCTTACAAAAGCTTATTGTTTGGTTTTGGGGTTCTAGAAGGAAGAGTATGGGATGGTGAGCATGACTGAAAACTGGCCAGGCTGGTCAACCGGGTCGGGTAATGACCCGGTTGAAGATAACGCAATCGAACAACAGCTTCCTCCAGCTAAGAAGAAACGCTTAGCTAATAGACACAGTGCTCATCAGATTCAAGAAATGGAAGCGTACGTCGTCGTCTTTGCCGTTTTAAAACAATAACAATGATGATTACTGTTAATTAATTGGTGTTTATTGTAGATTCTTCAAAGTAAATCCTCATCCAAATGACAACGACAAAACAAGATTAAGTCAGGAACTTGGTCTCACGCCTCTACAAGTCAAGTTTTGGTTTCAAAACCGACGTAACCAAATAAAGGTTCAATCTTTTTAATCTGCTTTGGACAGAGACTTCTAACAAACCGGTTTAAATTGGGTTTTCTTTGGCTTAAACCATTCTTATCAAAGTTCACTGCTCGATTCTGTCACACTACAAATATCTCTCTCTAGTTGTTGCTAACTACAATGTTTAGTTTTAATCAGCTTTGGATAGAATTTTAACAAACCGGTTTAAATTGTGTACTTAAACAAGCCGGTTTAATTTCGGTTCTCTTTGGCTTAAACCATTTATGTTAACATCTTTAATAATTTGTTGCTAATACTGAAATTAACAGACGCAACAAGACAGAAGTGATAACGTCATGCTTAAAGCAGAGAACGAGACTCTTAAGACAGAGAATCGCAAACTCCAGTTCGATCTACAACGCCTCTCTTGCTCTTCTTGTGTCGGCCCAAGAGAGAAACTCCACCTCGAAAACTCCCGCCTACGCCAAGAGGTAAAGAATCAATATTAGCTGTTGATGTTTTTGTCTACTAAACGGGTTTTACATGCTTGCAGCTTGATCGGTTACACAGCATTGCTTCCATGATGAATCCTTATCTTCCTCCACCAGACACAAACAGTATCAAAACCAACAAATTGTTGATTGCGGAAGAAGATAAGGCCATTGCGATGGATCTTGCGGTTTCTTGCGTTCAAGAGTTAGCAAAGATGTGTGACACAGATGATCCCTTGTGGAACAAGAAGAGATCAGACAACGAGAGAATCTCTCTTAATGAGGAAGAGCACAAGAAGATGTTCCCATGGCCTTCAATGGATAATGTACATTTCCGCAGAGAAGCTTCAAGAGCTAACACAGTCGTCATCATGAACAGCATAGCCCTAGTCAATGCATTCCTTGATGCTGTAAGTCAAACAAGTCCAACGCATTTCTTTAATTACAATTTCAAATACTTACAAGTTACAATTAACATTAATTTGTTTGAAAGGATAAATGGTCGGAGTTGTTTTGCTCAATAGTGTCAAGAGCCAAAACGATTCAGATAGTTTCTTCAGGAGTTTGTGGAGCTAGTGGTTCTCTTCTTCTGGTGAGTAATCCAGTGGTAACATATACATTTAACATTTATAGATTTAGGGGGCCCATAAACATTTTTAGATTAGTTTTAATAATTTTTTTTTTTTTGACAATCTTATATATTAAAACAGAAGTCATGACTTGACTTCATGTGTGATTTTTTTTTTAAAATGGACTATTACTAGAAAGTCATGTTACATTAACTCTCTAATAATCTTATCATTATTATATCTTATGAAAAATCATATCTATAATAACAAAGATACATTTAACAATTTGGTTTTGGTAAATTACCCTCACACCTTCGAACTTAATCACACAAAATATGTCAATAGATATAAGTTTAGGAATCTTCTATTATTTATAAGTAAATATGTCAATAATAGTTAAATGCATCTACAATATATTAACAAAAATCACAGATTCGTAATATGGAATATTTATATACCCTAACGAAATTTGCACGCTATATATACTAGATAAATTTATTTTGATGTAAATTTTTAAAATTATATTGTTTTAAAAAAGAAATTGTTTAAAAAATTCCTTTTGAATAATTTATATAATATTAATTTATGAAGCTATAAATTTAGTTTTTAGCAAAAATTTCTTCGAAGTTTATATTATCTTTTCAAATTAAACTATACTAATATTTAATCAAGCTCTATTTATATTACTTTATCTAAAAATGAAATATTAATCTAACAAACAATAAAATATAGAAGAAGAAACAAATACATGTTTGAAAAACATGTATAATATAGAAAATTTGAAACAATCTATTTGATTAAAACACGTAATATATAATATTATTATGTTTGAAAAACATTTACTATACATATAGTAAATATGTGAATACTATAATATATACCAATTTAAAAGTGAGAAAAATGTTTATATAACTAACTATAAACGAAAAGAAACACCCGCGCAGTTGCGCGGGTCAAAATCTAGTTTAAATTAAACTAAATGAGTTGATGAAACGTCATTTTTATACAATCAATTGGTTTTCTTGTAATAATGAAAATGTTTTGTTTTTGTTTTTTGTTTTTTCTAAAAGATGTATGCAGAGTTGCAAGTACTATCTCCATTAGTACCAACAAGAGAAGCCTACTTTCTACGTTATGTGAAGCAAAACGCTGAAGATGGAAAATGGATGATTGTAGATTTTCCGGTTAACAGTTTGATCAAAACCGATTCATCTACTACTACTGATCAGTACCGGAGAAAGCCTTCTGGTTGCATCATTCAGGACATAGCCAAGGGATACTCTCAGATCACGTGGGTTGAGCACGTGGAAGTGCAGGAGAAGCACGTGCATCACGAGATGGTTAGAGAGTATATAAAGAGCGGTGCAGCTTTTGGTGCTGAAAGATGGCTAGCTGTGTTGCAGAGACAGTGTGAGAGGATGGCTAGTCTCATGGCTACAAACATGACTAACCTTGGAGGTATTAACTTGTTCCACAAGTAAACCTAAAACTTACATAAATTAAAGTGACTTCGTTTATGATTTCTCTCCTTCAGTGATACCGTCTGTAGAAGCAAAGAGGAAGTTGATGAAGCTGTCACAGATAATGGTGAGAACTTACTGTCTCACCATAAGCAGTTTGTACGGACAAGCACTGTCTGAATCACCAAAAGAGACGGTGAGGATCACGACCAGGAAAGTTTTTGGTGGTGTTGTTCTATGTGGCGTCTCCACGACGATACTTCCTTATTCTCATCATCGAGTCTTTGATCTTCTCCGCAACGATCATCGTTGTTCTCAGGTAAAGATTCAAAACCAAAACTTTCCTCTCTTGTTTCTTGTGACCCAAGAATCTGAAACTATGTTTCTTTATGAAGATGGAGATGTTGTCCAGTGAGGACCCGTTTCAAGAAGTGGCTCATATTGCAAATGGATTACATCCTGGAAACTGCATTTCCCTTCTTCACTTCCATGTTAGTGTCGTTTTTCTAAACTAAATATTCGAAGTTCAGTGTTAATACTAACATATATCTCTCTAATAATAATCATTTCAGGGGCCAAGTAATTCATCGACTAATGTAGAGTGGATGCTTCAAGAAACATGCACTGATAACTCAGGCAGTCTCATGGTTTACTCCGCCGTCCACGCCAACGCCGTTCTGCTCGCTATGAACGGCGAGGATCCTTCTAGAATTCCTCTTTTGCCCTTAGGGTTCTCTGTTGTTCCTGTGAATCAACCCCATGTTTTTGAGGGCATTTCCGTCAGTCTTGCTTCGTGCTTGCTCACCGTTGCGATACAGATCTTGGTGAGCGATGTCACCACAGCAAGCCTCAATGTTTCCACTACAGCCATCAACAACCGTATTTGCTCAACTGTCAACCTTATCTCCTCCGCTCTCGGAAGTCCTCTGATGCTGGAGATTCTGTCGAGCTTTAAACAAGAAATAAGCAACTAGGAGAAAATATGGGGGGGGGGGTTGGTAGATAAAGCGCAGCTTAGACCTGATTAGGTTTGTTTTGTAGATCCCATGAGAAGGGTTGACCACTATTTTTTTTGGGGGGGAGTCAAGAACGCACCAAGGCATGATTGTATTTTTTTGTGAACCGGGTTTTATCCAGTTTGGAACATGCGTGACTGGTTTGGAAATTGACTTCCAATTTGGATAAACAAAAAAGTTGAATGTAATTTTGCAAATTTAATGCTGATTTTATTTTGGGGGGGGAGGGGGAAGTCAAGAACGCACCAAGGCATGATTGTATTTTTTTGTGAACATGGTTTTATCCGGTTTGGAACATGCGTGATTGGTTCGGAAATTGACTTCCAATTTGGATAAACAAAAAAGTTGAATGTAATTTGGGGGGGGGGGGAAGTCAAGAACGCACCAAGGCATGATTGTATTTTTTTGTGAACCGGGTTTTATCCGGTTTGGAACATGCGTGACTGGTTCGGAAATTGACTTCCAATTTGGATAAACAAAAAAGTTGAATGTAATTTTGCAAATTTAATGCTGATTTTGTTAAATCTGTCTATGGCGTTTCATGTTGATTTTTTTTGAAAATAGTCCTATTAAACTATAACTATGCAGAACCTTATACTAAACGAATTAGATACAAAAACCTTGTACTAAAATAATTAAATAAACCCGCCTAAGTAGTTCGCATAAATTTACACATGCGAGTTTTCTGGCCGGTTTTGATTAGTTCTTGTAATTTAAATGTCAAGATTGTTTCTTGAAGTCTTGGAGACATTTTTGCTTGCGTTGGCTGCTACGCTTCACTGATTTATGATGATGTTTTTTTCATAAGTCTGCGTACTGAATTGCCTTAGCAGTTGCATTGTGCAGCCTGAAAACTTGGTGATCCTAAGTTTGCACACTCCTTGCCTTTCTTCGTTCTATTTGGATTCATTTCGGTTTAATTTTCCACCTGTGGCGATGGTTATATGTCCGGCCTGGATCAATTTGCTTCTTGTCTCTTCTTAATAAGTTTAATATCTGTTCTCTTCGGAAGGCAGGCATGTCAATATTGCTTTTTATTTGACCTTGTTGCACCCCGGAGAAAGGTAATAGTTATAGGTTTTTATTATTAGGTCATCCTCGGCAATTCTCTTTCAAATAATCTCCAAGAGAAAGGAAGATTTATAGATTTGGTTGAGCACTTATATTATTTCACATATTTTTGCGAGTTTATAGTTTATATCTTCTTTTAATATTTGTCAATGTTTTGCGATTATAATTTCTGTATATAAACTAAAAAAAAAATAGTTTCACCATTTCACAATATATTGTAAAAATTAGTTAAATTACAATAATATAAGAATTAATAAATTTAAAATCATCAAACAAAAAAACATATAGTCCAAAGAGTTCATAGTTATATAATTTTAAAATTCATAAAAAATGGTTACAGACCAATGTCCTAATAACATAGAGCATCTCCAAATAGACTATCTATTATAGAGTTTGCAAAACTCAATATTGGAAGTTTGAAGGTATTTTACTCCAAAAATAAAACTTCAAACCTAATTTTAAAACTATTTATATTTTATATAATAGTACTTATATTTCTCATAACTAATTTATAAAATTTTTATAAATAACTATCATTTATAAAAGTATTATAGAAATATTATTTGATAAAATGTTACGCTAAAATATAAAACTATAAATAGAAATATATAGTTAAATATTAAAATACAAACAAAATACCACATTATATCATGTAATATTGTTGTTGTTGTTTAGTTCTAGTTTTATAATACTTTAAAGATTATCTTGATGTTTTTTTATGAAAAAATATATAAATTTAAATTTATAAAATAATTTTGAATTATGTATGAAATAATAATTTTAAAGGATTAAAATGATAAAAAGTAAATTATTTTAAATTATTATAAATATGATGTGTAATTATAATGACCAAAATGCAAATAAAATATGAAACTTCAAATTTGAAGTTTTGAATAGTGAGACTCTATATTTGAAGTTTCACTATTCAAAACTTCAAATTTAAAGTTTTAGAATTTCTTTTTGGAGAGACAAAAACTTTATATTTGAAGTTATAGAATGTCTTTTAGAGATGTTCTTAGTCAAACGGTTTTCCTTATATTAAACTAGGGTAAACCCGCCCTACGGGCGGGCAATTAAATAAACTAATAGTATAATCTTTATAAAAAAGATTAAAATAATTATTATTCATTTTAGGAATTCTACTTTTCATATTATTATAACATTTTAATAATACAAATTTCAATTTTTATTCTAATTTAACTATAACATAAGTCTCATAGATTTTCTTAAACTAATAGTACAATTTTATAATAAAAAGAATACAATAATTTTATTATTCATTTTAGGAATTATACTTTTTGTATTATTATAACATTTTAGTAATATAAGTTTCAATTTTTATTTTTATTTAACTATAACAATAGGTCTCATAGATTTTCTTAAAATGGCAGTTGATTGGAATAAATAAAATGAAGTTATTTTCTCTCTTATTTATATATCGTCTAGTGGTTTTTTTATTCTCTTTATACATTATTTTTTAAACTAATGATTTACACAATATAAAAGAAAAAAAAAACATATTCGTTACAACTTAAGTTTGGTGGTAAACTACAACTGATTTTTGTAAGTATATTTTTTTTATTTGTAATTCTTCCATCATTTTTCTAGTTTAAAGTTTGGTGGTTAAAAAACAAAAACAAAATTCTTGAGATTCATTTTTATTTATTTTGATTGGTCTTGTTTATCGAGGAACTACGTAATTAAGTTTTCTTACTTGTGATTATAATGTGTATTCTGTTATATCATCATTTGTTGACAAAAAAATGAAATTTTTTTTTTTTGAACTGAAGAAAAAAAAATGAAATATTGATTACGAAAGATGGGTTGCTAAACTAATTTTACTTGATTAGATATAAATAATAAATAAAACAGATTGTAAGAGTAATTTTCTATAAACGTGATTGTTCCCGTTGCTTCTTTTGTACTTGTTCCTTTCGTTAGAATTCATGCTCATTAAGATCAAACCTCACATGCTTCTTTGGCTAGAATATTTCTATTATTCCCTAACTCAAACCTCACAACCATACATGGCTTTTGACCACTCTCAGGCTTTGCCATCTATTTCTCTTCCTCTTCGAACGTTAGGGATCTGTCAATCTTGTGGACTCCAAGCAAGCAGCATGACCTTTTGGTGGGCTCTACTAAAACCGCTGAGTCACTCGAAGGCAACGTTATCTATGTCCAAGTCGTGCCTGTAATATTTTTTTTTTGTGTAATGGCTTTTGCTTCTAGAACTTTCTCATATCTTTCTTAAAATTTTCTTGAAGCATTTAGCTGAAGAATCCATCTTTTCTTCTTCTTATACTTGGTATATGTTTGTTTTCATGATTCATATTACCTTTGAGTCGATAAATAATACAGCAGTTTCTTGGTGATAAATAGTAACTTATATTTCAATCTCTGTGATCAAGAAAGCTAATACAATCTGTTAGAATTCACCACTGGATTTGAGAAGGGAAAAAAAGAGTAAACATTATGAACATGTGTGTGTTTTTAATGAATGACGTGATCCCTCCATTACCTTGCTGCCCGTAATATTTTTACATTTAATCACCAAAATTTAGTAATTCAAATCATGGAAGTTGGATAATTCTAACCTTTGGAATGAATCTCCCACTTGTATCCTCAACACCAACATTCTCCATTCGTTGTAATCTCTATCCACAAACATCAACTGTTGCAGCTTTCGATCCATCTAGGCATTACTGAGAAATGAAGCTCTGTTATTTTGGTTGACGGGATCTTCTGCTCCTGCTTCCGTCTGTAAGCACATAACAAAGAAGTTTTCAAATTCTGGATAACATCTCTGGATCAGTGACTGCAGAGTAGGTTGTATTTGTCGGTCACTGGTAGAAGCTGCTTCATGCAGCCAAATTTCATCGTTGTCCACATAGCATTGAAGGTCCATTGGAACAACGCGTAGCGTAGACAACAAACCGGTATGTCTTTGGCAGCTCAGCACAGTTTTGTCGACAACATACTGTTTAATCCCATATGTTGATCTAATTAATGGACTGGAGAAAGAAGACTCATCAGGGAAAAGCGACCACAAAAGGTGTTGACAACCATAAACTAACCGAAAATAATTGAATGGGAAAGGACAAGTTCATCGATTCTACTTTTACTTGCCGGCATGAGAGTGGACTGCAAAATTAAATGAACAACAAACAATAAAAAACGTGATTAAAGATTCATCATTGAAAGGTGTTTCTTTACGATCTGAGAATAGAGTTTCATATTCATGTGTTTTATCGAATCAAGAAAATTATATGAAAAACAAACAAAAAATATGAATAAAGATTCATCATTTAAGGTAGTTCATTTAGATAGTAGAATAGATTTTCAATATTCATGTGTTTAAGCATCTCTCGAAAATTATATGAAGAACAAAATAAATCATTATTAAAGATTCATCACTCCAAGGTGTTTTATTTAGATCATATAATAGAGTTACAAATATAATTGTGTTTAATAAACTCTGGAAATTATATGAGAAACAAACAAAAACATAATTACAGATTCATAATTAAAAGGTGTTTCATGTAGAACAGAGAATAGAATTTCAAATCTTCATGTGTTTAACGACAAAATCTGTGTTAAAAAAGTTGAGTTAATTGATGAACTTGAACTGAATACCTGAGAGTCGATAAAGATCATATCAAAGCCCATTAGTTAACCACCGCGACGAACGTTTCTTGCATCCAAGAAATAGAGAAGCTGGACTTCAACCTCGAAGAAGAACATCCTGCCACCAAATCACAGAGAAACACGGTTTGATTAGCCATTATCACGTTTAAGATGTATCTAGAGATAAAGAGAATTGGAATGATGATTCAGAGTGTATGATGGTGACCTTTTATAGGCGTGAATACACCGCCCATAAAAGGATTGAGAATCATTGAATAAGAAAACGTGGGTGGAGAGTTAAGAACTCATTGATGATGAGAGATCGTGGGAGAACCGACTGTCTGTGTTCTTCCTTGGCGGCCATGGATGGATGTCCTAATATCTATCGAAGAAGACGACACTCGAAGAGAAGACGGCCATGGATGGATTCCCTAAGATCTTTCGAAAGAGACGACATGCGAAGAGGAGAGAAGCCGTAAAACCTAATATCTACAGTTTGGGCCATATACCAAATTTGCGGCCCAGAATCTTTTAACATATAATGCGGATTCACCCAAAAACGCAAAATCTCCTTAATGTGATATTTGACACGTGGCAGCAGGGTGAGAAGCTAATATCCTACGTGGCAAAGCAGAAAGGATTAAAACCCTTCTTTATATAATTAGATGACACGTATATGTTGAACAAAAAAAAAATGACACGTATATATATAACCAGCTAGTCTTGTTTAAGTACATTTCCCTCGTTGATTTCATATCTGAGGTAATGATAGAAAGCATAGCAAGCTAACACTTTTTTTTTGTTTTTTGATAAATCCTATCGGCTGCAAGCAACACTTTGTCTGAATTTAAATATATTTTGTTCAAAATAACAAAGTTCAGATTTGCTTAATTAAAATTTCTCCCAAAATGATTCGTGGGAGCAATTATTCTTACAAGCTCCAAACACTTTTTCTGTAACTCCTTTATAAAAGATTCAGTGTACTTCCTGCTTTTCATTCCAATGAGTTTGTTTCGTATTTGCACTTTTTTCACATTTCAGTGTGATTTTCGTTTTGTGTTTAAGTGCGTAGGTGTACAAATGATAGAAGTAAGAATATTGCCTGCGATTAGGATACTGACGGATTGATAATAGTACTCCTTTAAGTATTTGTTCGTCTCTCTACTTTTGCGTGTATTTTTATTATTGATTTTGTTTCCGAGATCTAAAGAAACATTTTTTTACACTAACAAGTAAAACATCGATCAGATAAACTTCAATCGCAAACTGATACGTAAATACGTTAAAAGAATCTGAAATCCCATTTACAGAAGAAGAAAAAAACACTTTAAAAGAAGTTAGGGACTTAATTAGAAGGGGTCACAACTGCAATGTTTAATTTTGAAGTCTGGAGCATTCACCACATATAATAGTAATTACTTGAAGAAAAAAACATTAGTTGGGGTCACATGCCTATTGGGGTGGATTTACACCTCTTCAAGGCGCATTAGACAATGAATTAGACCCATTTAGATAAGAACCCCTAAACCTCATTCTTCTATAAATAAGGAGGTAACCCCTCTTTATTTATGATATTTTTTTCCACTTTTAGATCTAAAACACTTCCTATAAAGATTTTATAGATTCTTAGATTCACTTTATTATTCAAATCATTTATAATGCAATCTTTGAATCAATAAAATCTTGGATGTTCATTTCTCATTTGGTTTCTATGATGATTTCTCCTAAGCCTCAAGAATCTAATCCTTAAATTCTTCATTGTATGAATTCAACAAACATGGAATCGGCTTTCCTTAGATTCCATGATCCTTAGATTCTTCATTTGGAATCGGCTTTCCTCTCCATGGAGCTCTTCCGTTAGCTCTGAGATGAGAACAAGCTCAGCGGTGATCTCTGGGGCAGCTCAAAGCTTCAAGCTCTGATTCAGGCTCCATAAGGAATAGAAGAAAATAGGGAACATGGACTTTACGGCAACGAGGTGCTGCAATAGCCTCTGATTTAGGTGAATTCTAATTGAGGCTCAGGGAATGGCATGAATGGTAGGAGAAGCTTTGTCCATCTATGGAACGCAGCATAGCTTTGATTATCTCTCTGGCAATCTCGGCTGTGGGAACTAATGGCGAAAGATGATTTGTTCATCGCCGCTGCTTTCGGATCACGGTCATCACGGTCTCGTTCATAATGGCTACACTCCATACCTCCGTGATGATCCCTCTTGGAATCACTTCTACGGAACCATCCCTAGCTGGATTGGTCAGATGGCGTGTCTCTTCTACATTGAGCCATGTCTGCATGACACGCTTCATCAAAGGCTTACCCATGAGCTCCTCCTCATCAGACTTCATCTGAACACCAAGCTTCTGCAACATAGGCCACAACTTATCCTTCTTGTCGTTCATGCAAGTGGCAATGATTTGCTTGATGAGCCCGTAACAAAATCCGACGAGATAAGTTTCTAATATAATTAGTTATTTATTTGCACTAGATGCACCACTATACATTGTGGCAGCACAAAAGTCAACTAGGTACATGTGGTGCATTATAGCATTGTTGTTGAATCTGAGTTTTGTACGGTCGATTGACTAGAAACTAAACTCGATTTGTGGGTTCTTCGAAGGCGTTTAATTAATCAGAGTTGATAATAAGAGGAGATTACAGAAAGATTCAAGGAAAGAACAAAGGTCAGAGCTTTATGAAAGTCCGTCCGGATTACAAAGAGGTTCGATCGATCGTAAAACCCTAAATCTTGCCGTCAGTGTTCTTGTAGTAATTTGCGGATCCCCTTCTCTTTAATCTATGTCGTCCTTTTATACTACTCAGTTCGTTCTCGTCTTCGTTCGCCCTAAAGTTAGCTCGAAAGGCCCAAGATCGATGGGCTTTCGAACTTGTTGGGCTTTTTCGAATGAGTAAACCGGTCGCTCGATTTTCGATCCGATCTCTTCTTTCGGTCGAGCTCTATTCAAACCGATCGTAAATGAGCTGGAGCCTGTTATTCGATGGGCCTTGTGGAGGGGTGTTCAATCCCTCTCCAACAGTAAGTCCCCCCCCCCCCAGTTCGCTTGCAAGAGGCTCGTTTTCTTGGAAGGGGAATATGGAGAGTTGGTTTTAAGGATGACAGGCTCGAGTCACTTCCATCTCCGCTTAAACGGTCGTCCTATCTTTGTCCTTAACCTGCACTCGATCGATCGAGCGCATATATAAATATATAATTACGCTCACTTGATTCGGGCCGGCTTCGTCTCGTTGTATTCCCTTACGAAAGAGTAACCATTTCGGTGGGAATTTATAGATATCCAGGCCCATTAGGTTTAATACCTCGATCTCCGTGAGTCTTGTTATAAATACAACATCCTTTCCCCATCTTTTTATTCTTCTCCACTCCAAGGTATTATTCTCTCTCTCTCCCTTCTCTCTTTTCTCTCCTCTTTATATTTTTTGTTGAAGGTGAAGTCAAGCTGCTCGCCGCAAGAGTGATATCGCTCGCCGCCGGGAGCTTGCTGTTTCGCCGCCACCGAGAGCTTCGCCGCCGCTGGGAGCTTCGCCGCCGCTGGGATAGATCTGGGTTTTGTAGGGCGATCGATGGACACACCTAAGGGGAGATTGACTTCGGTTGAGAAGGGAAAGGGAATTCGGGTGGAGAGCGATTGTGCTCGTCCGGATTCTAGTCGGATGGAAGCTGATAGCAGTTTTGCCCGCGAAGATGGAGGCGGGCGGTGCTTGTTTGATGAAGTGGAGATGGCCGCCGAGTTGGCAGAGCCGGAGGACGATTCCTCGGAGGGGAACGAGATCGAGCGATTCCCGATAGGTGCTGATGAGATCGAGACGTCGCCGGCTTCTGGCGGAAAGTCCGTCGTCGGGAGGTCTTGGAAGTGATGCCGCTGAGGAGGACGAAATAGAACGGTCCCCGACTGCCGCGGATGTCGTCGGTGCGGGAAGTGGGATTGAGCAGCGCGACGACGGGCGATCTCTTTCTGAACCGGCGTCGGCTCGGTAATGTGTTCCCTTTTATTATCACAGGAATGGAGTGATCGAGCAGTTGGCGGATGTTCCTCCGAGTCATGTTCGGCCATCGAAAATTAAGGGGCAAAACTGGGTCGATGTATCGCCTACGTGGTCTACTGAGGAAGGAGTTGCTTCGCTACTAAGGGGACGCAGAGCATACGGTGTGACGTTCGTCATTCTGCGTCCCGATCAGCGACCATGGACTCCGCCTGTGGGTTTTCATTGCGTATATGAATCTTTCTTTGAAAGAGATGGGAAGTTTTGGTTTCCCATCCCTCGCTTGGTCACTTCGTATTGTGCGCGTCGGGCCGTTCCTATGTCCCAGTTGATGAATGGGGTGATGAGAATGGCCGTTGCCCTGATGGTAATGGCGGCTGAAGCGGATCTCTCAATGAGTGTTCGGGTTTTTGAGGAGTTGACACAGATTCAGCCAAAACCTTGCGGCTTGTATGCGTTGCAGATGCGTGCAGGACTGCATAGCCTCACTGGTCATCCCACGAGGACTAAACATTGGCAACGCTCGTATTTTTACATAAAGTCTGATGAGGCCGCTTTTGAGGAGCCACCGGATGATCATTCTCGCACTTTATGGAACTACCATATTGGTAGTTATATATTTCTAGGGTCGAGTTAATCGATCGTTCGACCTTTTGTCTAATGTTATATGTTTCTTTCTTTTGTTTTTGCAGTTGGTCATCCGAACACCGTTGATTACCCCGAACGATTTTGGGAGGTCGTCGCGAAGATTGCCGTGCTCGATCGAAGTGAGTGGGCCAGTTTCGATCGGAGGAGGATTCGTCGTCAACGAGATCGGATTTCGAGAGGTAATAGCGATTTTTCTTTATTTCGTTCTTGCCGTAGGAATGACAAGATTTACTTGATGGTCGATCGATCGACTTCTATGCTTTGGTCTGATTGCTTGCGTTATTTATCTCATTTTGTTGCAGTTGATTGGGCATCCGATATTCCTTGTGAGGATCCTAAGGGAGAGAGGTTACCACTTCCACTGATGGAAAAAATTCCGCGAGTGTATCCTAATTTCAGTGAGCTCTTCGACTCTCAGCTGGGTGATGAGAGTTTCGACCCTGCTGCAGCGTTGGAGGCGGAGAACGAGAAGGTCAGGGGTTCGCACAATGAGGGAGACGATCCGCCGGTA